AGTTTCAAAAAGTTTGCATACGTTAGTTCGTATTTAAAAAAGTATTTTGTGGCATTTAAAAAATATTATAATTAAGGAATTTATTTGAAAATATTAATTTTTATGTGCAAATGTTTGAATTTTAAATGTCGTTGTTTCGAAATGTCATTTTTTTTTGTCGATAACCGAATCGATAATACTTTCAACTAATTGTTATTTTAAAAAATTGTATTGTTGCTACTATGTTATTTCTAATTGTTTTCAACGTAAAAAAATTCATGCGGAATAAAAAAGAAAAACTACGCTGCCGTATGAATTCCATCCTTGTGCAAATATCCGCATCAAATATTGTATCGAACGTGAGAAAACATGATAGCACGCCGATTCCAATCTAATGTTTCACGCCATTTATTGGATAACTGAGAATCGTTCATTTAACCGAGACACGATAGCAAGATTCGCTTCCATCATGTCCGTTTGAATATAATCGTTAAGTTGTACAATTAATCACTTCGCGAGAGAGAAATGCAAGAAAATACAGGAAATGGCGCGAAGAGAACTTTCGTTACTCTCATTCATCATCACAATTGATTATTACACTCGCTCCTTTGTTTTCAGAACGTTCTCTTCGCAACGGCTAATTGTCTTTATAATTCTCGTATACCCCTTTGAAGTCAGAACGATACACTATATTTGATATGGCAAGTAGAGAAAATGAAAATGCTCAACCAAAAGAGATTCTAATTTACAATAATTATTTTAGTAATTTAAGTGTATATAAATTTAAACACAGACAATTTCAAATGGGTAAATAATGAAATAAAATCTACGTTGGCAATTTTTTGAAAATAATAATTATTACAATGTGTACAATGTGTACAAGAGAAAATCAAATTTGTACAAATTGATGCAGCCCGATGAGTGATGCGAAATTGTAAAATCACAGTAAAAATACAGAATTCTGGTATGAATTATTATTTTCAAATATCCTTGGGATTATCTCCGTTTTAAGAAAGATGTCGAAAATATGGCAAATGCTTGCGCAAATTTCGAACTGAAAGCATTGGTATCCAGGTACTTACCTTGTCACTGTAAATTACGCAGCAGGAGATTTGCAACACAGATTCGCAACGTAACGTCGACGCCGGGCCTACAGCAGCCTCCGGTCTTGGCCTGACCTCGTTTCTTGGAGCGTCCATCGTTCATCTCACTTCACTCACTCGCGACGCGAGAACATTTTGAGCAGTCCATTCACGTACATATCAGGATAGCGTACGAAATATTCTCCCGCTTTGTTTCTACGGTTAAGGCTTCGATTACAGTGGATGTGTATTCTGATGAACTTTTGTTCTGACGAATATGTCAGAACAAACAAGCAAGAGCATTTTTTCTATCAGAGTTACACTGTATGTGTACAGTTCATCAGATGTCGCACGAACAAGTTTGTCATTTAAACGAGTTTGTTTCTCTGTCCACATTCGTGCGACTGTTGAAATGGAAACTGAAAGACTATCAATGTTTAGTGTTTGAAAAAATTAGCCTGTGGGTATGAATGAAAAATACTTATCATAAGAGATCTTGTGAAAAGTAGAAGATTAGTAAAAAAAATATTTTCCATTTCTTTCTCCTGAAACAAACATTTTATTCATGTACTCAATACTCACAAGTAAAATTTTTAATAATATACTTTTCAAGAAGAGAGATGAATTATCTTAAAATTCGGAATTTTGATATTATAACAAGAATACTATTTACAAGAATATTATTTCAGAATACATTTACAATAATAAGTACCTCTTTTTAATGAACACGAATTCGTCAGAACAAAAGGGTGCTTTTCCATTGTTTAACACATCTTGACACAAACGTATACAGGAATTATGTACAAATCGAGGTGCAAATTCAGACAACATGCATGTTAAATAAAAAACAACATAAAAACACAGATCTCAGGTTTCAACATATTACAGTAACATTGCAAATATTGCAGTGTTACTACAAGTTTCTGTGCTGTACGAGCGTTTTTTAGAACATTTTATATATCTGAAACATATCTAAAAGACATAATATAAACCCATTTTCTAGATATGCGTATTGTCTAGAAAGTACAGCGTTGTGCGCGATTCAATTAGAATAAAATGTGTACTGATATGTAGCACCAGATAGTACATCAGATAAAATTAGGTTTATTTTTCATACCATGCCTATGTATTTTAATATTTTACAATATTTTTTAAATCAATGATGGTGGAAACTTTTCATTTCTCTCGCGTTTTCATAAGTCGCGGTTATTAATAACACAAGCTCACAAAAAAAATATCCTGTCCTGAGGCGAAGCACAGCTATTCTTATGTATTTTGAGTCGCTGAATACGAATTTGACATCAAATTAGGACCATCCAAGGCAAATTTTCAATCTAGAGTGAAAAAATGACCCATTTTTCTCATTTTTGACTCATTTTTTCGCTCTAGATTGAAAATTTTCCACGATGGTTCTATTTTTATGTCAGATTCGTATTTAGCGACTCAAAATATATAAGAATAGCTGGATCTCTACTCCAGCACAGGATACTTTTTTTTGTGCATCTGTGTAATCAAGGAACATACCAAGTAGAGGAAACCAAAATGATGATTTTTTTTGTTACTTTGACTATTTATTCACTTTATTAAAATAAAATCATTTTGATTATTTTTTTACCTTTATGGGTTCCTTGAGAACTATTCAATTATCACTGAAAAACGTACTTACACAGTCAACAGTTAATTATACTTGCTTTCAGGTTGAAGATGGATATAATATGATAATATCGATAATTAAGTATTGGAACACAATTTGTGTACGAAAGTGTCTAGGAATATTACAAATGGAAAGCTCCCAAAGAGTTCGTTATTTAATTCACTGTAACTGTAGACTAATCTCACACGCGGCTGGGCGATCTTGCGATTCCAAGAATCCGAGTTGTTTACGTTACGCGGTGGGCCAATTTTCTAACAGTCGTGTGTCGTCTGTTTATCTATTCGCCCCGAGAATGGATAATACAAACGAACGATCGTAAATGCCCCTCAATTGACACGTTACAATGCGGCGCGTCGCCCAACAGTCCATCCAATCGCACTCTCCCCGATTATATTAGGCACGCGACGGACGCGGAAATAACGGCGCACAGGGGGGAGAGGAAGGGGGGCAGCCATTACTTACGCGGAAGTTTTGACGCGAGCGCGTCGGGTAATACTGTGCGTGGTATTAATCAACGGTTCCCTGCTCGGATGATTAGCACGTCAAGGCAATATCTCATTCGGCACTCCGATATGACTGATATTCGCACGCACGTCAGTTTGATTATCAAAACAAAAGGGTTCTTTACTCACGAAAGCGGAGTGAAGTCGTTCCGACGCTTAACGTTCCGACGCGTCGCGATTACACTCTCACAATCAGAAAATATCATTCTGTTGCTAAAAAGTGAATACTCGATTTACTTTCTATTTACCTTTAGATTCATCGAATCTGTTTGTGAATGCAGATAAATGGAACGAATGTATGACCGAGTTCGAAACTGATCTATCTGACGTTGGTCGCGAAATAAAAGTATCATGGCGGTCACATGCAGTCCGCTTTACATAAAATGCGGGTCGCGCTTGTTGCGTCAGCCAATCCCGAAGTGGCGCTTTTGAAATTGACGCATCGGATTGGTTGAACGCGTCTCGCGTTTTTGCGTCTTACATAGATCGGGCTTAACGCGCGATCGTTGCGCATTTGTTTCTCGCGAGTTTCGAACGGCGGACAAATTGTTCGGTACAGTGAAAAATGTTGTTAATTTACGCGTGATATGTCTACTTGTGCGTATCCGTTTCAATACGAATAGCGATTGAAAACTGTCCAACTGTTAACTGCGCGATAGTTCTTGAAGATAAATATAGATAGGACGGCCTATCTCGAAATAAGAACGGACTGTAAATACCGATAATTCGTTAGTGATCGAAGACCGCCATGACAATCGATCTACATCGGATAACACGGAGTGAAACGCGATGAGTGAAATTCGATCATTTCGCACATTTCGAATTCACATTTTATCAAAATGCTCGTTATCGAATCAGCGAAATGCATGAAATTAGTAGCGTTATCAGCGTCGAGCGCGCACGGGTCGCGTCGGTAGATGAGATCGAGATTATAAGTAAGTCAAGTGTTACTTGTTCTCGGAAACGTGGTACGACTTCGCTCCCTAGTTTCTCGTACACGAGGAGAGAGCTGTGTGTAACCGCGTATACCTCCCCTCCTCCTTTCCCCTTCAGAATAGCTCGATCCGTGCGGCCCTGGGACCACGACACCGCCTATCGCGTGAGGCACAGTATACGCGCGCGTAGTCGTCGCCTTTGTGTATATATCGCGCCGTCTCACTCGCACTCGCGCTGTGCCGCTCCCTCCGTCTCGCTCTTGCTCCGACACACTCACACGTATGCACGCATACTCTTTCTCTCTCTCTTTCTCCCCACCAGTCGGCTGCCGTAACGCCGCGAGCCGTTGACTCGGCGTAGTACCATCGGTGTCGCGACGCGGCGCTCTCAGTCGTGCTCCTGCCGTGGCGCCATCGCGTCGTTCGGTCGAATCTGTGTTCCGTGCGGCGCGGATCGGATCTACAGTTCGCTCTCCGCAGCTCACCGTGTTACTTCAAGGTGGACGGCGCCTTTCTGTCTCTTACGTGTATCGTGTGCGGGTGTATGTACCAGAGCAGCGTGTTCCTTTCGATCGTGAGATCTGACTCGCGTACTCGCGTGAATCGGCGCACCTCACGCGAACGTGCCGGACAGCGGAGTGTAGAGAGTAGAAGAGAAACAGTGACGCCCCGCCGAAAGTGCTCCGAAATTTACTCCGCGAGTCTTTATCGTCCCGTGGGTAGGCGACGTAGTGTAAACTTGTATATAGTGTATACGGCGCGCGCGGCCAACTCAAAGCGGACGAGCGCGCGACACATGAGGAGGAGGCGAACTCGCGGCGCGAGTTCGGACGAAGAGGAGAAGCAGCCAGCGGCCACCAGTATAAATCTCCTACGGGGAATGCAGCTTCGGGATCGTCGCCTGCGGCCGCGGACGGCCGCCACGCTTCGAGAGACATGACGCGATGATCGTCGAGGCACCTGGTGCATCCGCCCTGATCGCCGCACCACCACGCCGCCGACGCCGTCGTCGCCGCCGCTCGCGTCCTCTCCTCTCTCTCTCTCTTTCTCTCTTCTCTCTCTCTCTCTCTCTCTCTTGTTCTCTCGCGCCCCGTGTGTGTATCGTGTACCGCCCGTAGCACCGGCCCCTGCAGAGTGTGACGGATAAGTTTCTCGTCGTGAAAACGCGCCAGCCAAAACGGGAATCATGGGTGATGTGCACGGGCTTCTTCTAGTTAGTGACCTCGGCCAGGAGGATATCGCCTGGGACGACGTCGGGACATCGGCAGCCGTCAACATTGCCACGCTCCGCGGGGTGAGTCTCTCTCTCTCTCTTTCTCTTTCTTTTTCTCGTAACTGTTTTTTTAAATAATTAATTATGATAATTCCATCTAGATGACCTTGTCGACGTCGCAATGTTATGAACGAACAAATGCGTTTCTGCCCCGCGCGAAGAATTCGAAGGACGCACCCCTTCGCGCGAACGTTTCTTTTGTTTTTGTTTCACATAGACGTCAGACAGATGGTCTCGCGCGAAATGTTTACATTGCAATCCGACACTTTTTACGCAGAACTCTCGTTAACACGAGAATTACACGCTCTTTTCCTATTCATCCGAGAGCGAATATGGATCGTTATTTTATGTGATTACTCTCTTTTCTCTTTCGTAACATTTGATTTTATGATAAGAAATTTCTGTGGAGATACGTACACACGCGTGTTGTATATCTCTATTTTGAATAAAATCTTTTAAGGAACGTTGTTCCTTTATAACGTTTGGTTTTATATTAGAAAGTTTCTTCTAGGAGAAATATATTGTACATGCGTATATCTTTATTTGGAATGAAAGAAATAATGTAACAAATTACTTTGTAGGAATAATGTATCAAATTACTGCTCGTCAATATGATTTCGAGAGGATTCGATGAAAAGAGATGGCAACGATAATATCATTAATGACAATGATATACAGTGGATTTATTTATTACTTACGCGGGATGCTCTATATTAATTCATTTGAGTTTCGAATATTATTGATCGCGTACAACAAATTCAATATTTTCTGTAAACAATTAAATACGAAAAGCTAATAACAATTATCACAGTGATAACATTTGTAAATTGAATGTTTTCCTTTTTCTTCTTTGCGCAATGTTTTTATTCCAATTGGACATAGAACAACAACATTATTTAATTATTTTACCTGATTAATTATATAGAAGTCGTTTGTGAACGTAACGAATATAACGTTAGCTGTTCGAGAAAATGTAGATATATGTAATTGGTGTTTTGTATTTGTACTTCAATGTTTTTTGATGATTAGAGATTTTCTTCAAGATGTTTATAGAGTAGATTAAGATAACAAAAAATTCCATTTTGTGTCCCTTCTGCGCACAGTGGAAGAAATTCCTGTTTTTTATTTTTTTTTTGACCATTGAATCTAAAGCGCTGCACATTATAGAGAAAATTTCCTATTAGGAATAGGAATAAATATTAAATGTTAGAGGAATTAAAATGTTAGAAACAGAGATTGAATATACATACACTGAGAAAAAATGTACTAAATTTTAATAAACATTTAATAAACACTAAAAATGATAATTAAATGACATTAATGGTTCTTATAATGTATGTTTATATTTTGTTATACACACACACACACACACACACACACACACACAACACACACACACACACATTTATTAATAATATATGTGTTTATAAATATATGTTTACATTTAATAAATATTCAGCTAGTACTATTAAAATAATTTATTGAAATTTATTGTATTTTCTCTAAGTATATTATATCTCATCTAGATCCATTATATATCTCTGTATCATATTTAATCTCTACACACAAAAAAAATATCATTCTGTTGTTAAAAAAAGTAATTACTCAATTTCTTTTCTTCAACAAAGAATGTCTTTTGATATAATATAATATTAAAATATAATTAAAAT